TGATTGCTCATTTGCTAAGTGTCTTTCAGGAGCTGTGATTGGTGGTCATGGCTTTGTGTGACAGTGGTCAGCTTGGCAGCTCATTGCCTGGCTGTGTGCCACACACAGGCCCAGGGCTGTTCTCAGGGATTGGTGGTGGTTTTTTGATGGCTGCTGCCACCTCCAAGGGAAGATTTTCCTTAGTGTTAAAGTGAAAAGCTGTGGTGTGATTAGCATAGAAAGCATTGCATTCTAAAAGTAAGAATCCCCATCCTGTAGCCTTCTGCTTGCCCTTCTTTTGCAGATCAGAATGTGTGTGTTTTCTTATTAGCTACTGGGAGTCATCAGAAATAGCTGTGATTTTTCTAACAAAGCTTTTAAATTCCAAAAAAGAGCAGGTTTCCAGTTATGATTTGTCACTACTGTGCTTTTGCATGATTCTTGGCTTCAAGTTCTAACAAAACATTTTCATTTCTTGCACCTTTTTTTCCTGCATAATTGCTGTTATGTTCAGAACATGAAGGCAATTTTAATTTTGATAGCAGGAGTAGGCTATGCTAAAAATAGGGAATGCCTTCTTTCTGTGCACATAGAAGGAAGGATGCTGAAGTTACTGTTGGGCTTCATCAATTGTCTATAATTTACAGGGGGAAAAAGTGCCCCTCCTTTTTGCTACTTGTCCTGTTTATTACTGTGTGCAGCTCTTTCTGTCTGTAGAGTAACAGCCTAGCAAATGTGTTTTTATGCTCACCTATGATGAACTGATTTCTTAAATGCCATTTTCTTTTTCCTTTTATAGAGCAAAACTATAGTGAATCTCGGTATCACTTCTTGCACTCCACAGATGGTGAAGGCTGTGCAAACATGCTCGTGGAATACTCCTCATCCAGAGGCTATCGCAGTGAGGTGGACATGTTTGTAGCACAGGCAGTCCTACAGTAGGTGTTGCATTGGTTTTTTTTTGAACTGTTGTGCTGAGGTGATGCTGTGTGTGAGGCCAATCTAATTTGATCGAGATAACTATGGGTTAACTGAATGTCCTTTCAAAGAAGCTGTGAAAGTGAGACCAGAGGTTCAAAACTCACTGCGTGTGGTAGCAATAGAAACTCATCTCAAAACTCATGTGGAGTGGGGAAAAAGCGTGTTAAAGTCAAAACCTAACATTGTATTAATTGCTTTAAGAGTTAACATAATCTGTTTGACCCTCAGAGCACAATTCTTATTTTTTGTTAATGCTACTTTGTGCCTGGTTAGTTAGGAATTAACTGGATGTGCTTACCAAGCCTGGGACTAAGTGGGCACAAGACTTGCTCTCGGTCTCATTGTCCTAAGAGATTATTAACATTGGGTCACCCTGGTGTATGAGCAGCATGGACCAATGGTTTCTCAGAACTGCTGGTGGCTCCCATTTAATTTAAGCATTTATTTGGAAGGACGTGGGAGTGCAAGCTTGTGTGTGCATTTGCAAAGCTCACGTACAATTGAGGCTGACAAAGCCAATTTTACTGAGTTTAATCAGCGGATGGCTTCCTGCAGGCAGGGAAAGCAGCTCAGGGGGAGGCTGAGCAGGAGGTGCAGCAGGACTGCAGCACGGACAGGAGGTGCTGTGAGAGGGAGTGGGCGAGAGTGAGGCTGTCTCTTGGCAGCCTCCAGCTGTCGTGTCGGATGTGTCCTGCTTTCTTTAGTTGGTTGCTAGAGATTGTAGTGATGATTAGAGGTAGAAAATCCCTCTATATAGTCTGCTGTATGTAGGGCTCTTAAACAATGCTATGAGTATTTGTTTCTATGAGTATCAGTTACAAATAAGGGATTCTTTTTCTCAGCATTTAGACAGAGGCACTTCTTATGTCCTTTAATGGCCTCAGAATTTATCTCGGACACCATGCCAGATCCTCTTACATAGCAGTTCATACTCTTCTCTGATTTTTAACTTCCCCTGTTCTGTTTCCTTTTGCAGATTTCTCTGCTTAAAAAATAAGACCAGCGCCTCAGTTGTTTTTACAACGTATACACAGAAACATCCTTCAATAGAAAAGGGTCCACCCTTTGTGCAACCACTGCTAAACTTCATCTGGTTTCTGTTATTGGCTGTTGATGGGTATGGTGTGATTTTTCTCACTCTGGTCTTAATTTCCTTTTCAATTGCTTTTGAGATAATATTTTTGGTTGTTTCCTTTCTAGGGGAAAACTAACAGTATTTACAGTATTGTGTGAACAGTATCAACCGTCCCTGAAAAGAGATCCCATGTATAATGAGGTGAGTTACTGGGAACTGCAAGCAGGATGTAACCCACAGCATTAGTTAAATAATGGCTGATCACTCTGAGTGCAAACCACGTGGGTCACACTGTTTGTAATGTGGCTGAAACAGCAAACAGCTGCTGGGTGCTGGCTTTACGTGTTTCCTCCAGGTAGTGGGATGCTGATAGATGCTGATAGATGCTTTAGACAGCGGGTGGCTTTTATTTGGAAGAGTGTGTTTTATTTAGTGGGAATGGAAATTGATAAATCTATCAGGCATGGCATTTCAGTTGTTCTTGATGACATGTTGAGAAGTAGGATGTTTGAATACAGCTTGTAGAGAGGAGTCAGTGATCTCACTTGTGGTATTTCCATCTGTAAATGAAGCAGCTGATGTTGTTCTCCATCTTGTGTCATTCCAGTACCTAGATAGAATAGGACAGCTTTTCTTTGGTGTTCCACCCAAGCAGACATCGTCCTATGGAGGATTACTAGGTAAGGTTTATGCTAGCAGTTCTGGTTACCGAAATCAACCCTACCAGGGTGGTGAGAGAGCAGATGAAAATTTTTTAATGAGAATATGGAACCAGTAAGCTAAGTTTGACTGTCATGTACTTGGTTCTAGGAAATCTTTTAAACAGTCTGATGGGAACTGGAGAAGATGATGACACAGAAGATGGTCAGGAAGACAGCAGTCCTATTGAACTGGACTGAGTATTTTTGCCATAGGGTGCCGTGTACACTGATGGTTCGATGACTCCAAAGACAGTTTTGGAATTTGAATCCTGCAGTTGTTTCTTGGCGCCTAAAAGGGCTCCTCCAGTCTTTTAGAAATGGTTGCTGAAATGTTTATAATGTTCGGTCTATATTATTTATGTAAACAAAAGAAAGAAACCAACAAAAAGTAGCCAAAAGAACCAATGGGAGTGATTGTTAGCAGGTTTCCAATGCAGCGGCTGGTGACTTTAATTAAAATATAGTCGTCTACGGTTTCTGATGCAGTATTCCCTTTTGCACAATAACTCAATAAATATGGGTCTGCTCCACGACCTATCCACTACCATCTTTGTTACAAGAAGGCCTCCCTGACCTCTGCCATCTGCAAGGAACATCCTGAAAGCAGGGTGAGTCACTGCGTAACTGAGGGGTGAGGCTGGTGCCAAAAGTCCTGCGATGCAAGGAGCACAGGGAGCTGCACAGCCAGGACACACTGACAGCGGGAGCTCCCTCTGCTGCAGTGAGAACAGCACTGCCTGTGTCTATGGTGAGCTGGCTCTGGCTGAGCCCATGTGTGTGTTTAGCTGATACTTCTGAAAAGCACAAGTTTGAATTGCTCTCGAGTAAAAGCGGATCAGTGGAACGCAGGTAATTGGCTCCATACGGATCTCTCTTGCCTAGGCTTAAAAATTTGGCATCTAAAGTACCTCTGGCTGGTGGCTCTGCTGCTTTGGAACATTCTTTCTCATTCTGAGTTCACAACCATATGTAACAGTGAACAGCCACGAGCAATGTCTGCATTTGAAATGCAGCTATATGTAAAGAAAAGGGATACTGCAGAACTTCTGGTTCTTTATGATATATTTATTTTTCTCGGGTGATTGATTCATTTAACACTTCGTGTAAAAAGGATAAATCAATAAATAATGGAGTAATTTCAACCCCAGTGGTAGGCATAGCAATTCTACATCTCTTTAATGCAGACCACTGAGTGGTGGTGGTGCAGCAAACAAATGAAAGGGGAAAACGCTTTATTTTTTCACGATGAAAATACGAAGGCTTAGATTAATAAACAGCAATCATGCATGGGGGAGGGAGGGGTTCATCAGACTTTACTGACTGTACGAAAAAGAAAAGAAGGCAATGAAAGGCAGATTTTGTGTTAATTGTGACGTCTCAAATAAACACTTTATACCAGGATCTACGATACAGCTGCTTTCTGAGAGTCTGTGATGGGTGCAAATCACTTCAGTTTGCAGCCTCAGTTCCTGCTCGGTGTTGGCTGGATGCTGCACACATCATTATTGTATGGTGGTATGGAGCAGCCTTGGCCACAGCCCTGTCCAGGGAGGATTCGTTATCACAGGTATAACATACTCACAATATAGTCTTTTTCTATTTAATACTTTCTAAGCTCTAATAGTTATTATACAGGTCCTAGTTTTGCACACACACACAGTCTCCCTCTGTCTGAAGCCACAGCCACTGTTTGTGACAGGGCTGACTTAAATGACAGCTTAAATAAAAATACACTATTATTTTGCAAATTGTATGTATACACAGGCAAACAAATACAGAGAGCAAGCTACACACGTGTATAACTGCATTTCTGCATCATGTACTTAGCTTAAATTACAGACAATACATAAACATTATTTATTAATTATAAAAAATGCATCCCAAAATCAATTTAGTTATTAAAAAGCCAGTAGTGCTGGCTGCAAAGAAAGAAGCACCGTGTGTGCATTCAAGAAATACGTTTACTTTCTATGTTTGTCAATTATTCCTATAAATGCCTATCTCTGTACTCACCTGTGTGTTTGTGATCCTAATACACAAGAGGTGCTCTGGTGGTGCAGTGAGTGCTATGAAATACCACTTGTGAAGTGTGCATACACATCCATCCACACACACACATTGAAGCAGGTGTTGCTAACACACAGAATCACCCCACACCCAGCCCAGCTCTATGCACACACACATACAGTACATGAAGGAAGGAATTCCCACCCCTCTCCTTTCTGCTTCCCTGCACCCGCAGACCCAGACAACACCAGCACCCGTCCAACATCAGCGTTTATTGGTGCGAATGACATGTAGTACCACAGTTCTTACCAGTGACATTACAGACAGACACAGCCCACAAGAGGGGTTCGGTTACAAACACCGACAGCAGGGCCTGAGCCCCAGCCCCTGCCCCAGCAGTTACAGTGCTCAACACAGCGCTGAAATGTCACTTCAAGCAGCTTTTGTATTCTTTGCAGGAAAAAGAAAAGAAAACATCAAAAAAAAAATAAAATTAAGAGAATTATTGGAAAACAAAGTGCACCAACTGGATTGCAGAGGACTGTGCCAAGGGCAGCAGGGACACAGGTGGGCACAGCCCAGCCTGCTGCTCAGCCCTGGCCCCACAGCCACCCGTGGTACCCAGCAGCGAGCACTGCCAGGCTGTGCACTTTGGTAAGCAGCTAACGAGGCCAACGACACAGATATCTGAATTTCTACACCCTGCTCGGAATCAGCCTAGAGACAGCATTGCCACCACCAGGGAGGTGTGATGCTCACCCACACTGACGTCATCTATTTATAATTACCTCTATGACACCGGGAGGATCGGTCATTCAGCAACACGCACACAGCAGGAGACCAGAAGTGCCCAACAGCTGCATCCTGCTCACACTGCCCTGCAGGCACCAGCACAGCCCTCGCAGCCAGCTCCATCCACCTGCATGACACCATGAGAGCAGTGGTCCCGAGGACAGAGGCCTCAGCCAGGATGAGTGTCACTCCCTGCTCCCTTTTGGGAAGGCAGAAGCAGGCATGGTGTGGGCACCCAGGGGATGGAGGGCTGGGAATGGCCAGGGCACTGCACAGGAACCATTGTCCATGGGGAGTAACACGGTGATGGGCTTCCTACCAGGAGCTGTTTTAAGCTGCTCTCAGTGCTTCTTCTCCTTTGAGTTTTAGGGAGTGCAGAGGACAGAAGCAAGGACACATTTTGGTCATCTCCAAACCCCCACCAGTTCTGCTGCAGGTTCCTATATCTAAAGACAATGATTTCTGTCCTCTTGTTTTAAATGTCAGCATCTCAGGGGCTCGCTCACTCTTACAACAGCTGGCAGGCAGCAGGCAGGCAGTGTCCCCAGAGCAGCAGGGCCACAGGCTGAGCCCAGTGGGGTGAGGTGGGGGATCTTTGTCACCAGAACACAGGAGGCCTCGGGCCAGTCTGTATCCCCTGTGAGCTGAGGCAGCAATGAGCCATGGAGGAGGAAAAGCAGCTTAGCACCAGCAGCTGCAGCATCATGGGCAGGGCGCTGGGATGGCCGCAGCCTCACATCCCCCAGAACAGCCATCACTTTCCACAAGGAACCCGTGTGGGTTTTGTACCACAGAGCACATTGTCCAAAGAGTGTCCCGTCCCCAAAAGATTTGTCCCCGAGACTCTTCACCACAGGGCAGGGGACCCTTCCAGCAGCACAGTGCCCTACCTGCAGGAGACACGTGGGCACGAGGTGCAGGAGGAGCAGAAATGAGTTCTGGGTTGGATCGGTGTCTTCTCCCACGTTTCGCTGCTGCCCTTCTTGGCCTCCGACATGATCAAGTGAATGATGCGGGGAAAGGGAAGTATTATTATTATTATTACTGTTATTATTAATAATAATTATTTTTTAACATTTCAAATAAAACCATGTTGTGTTGTAAACAGAAGCTCATTCCTCAGGTCTGCCCAGCCAGTCCCATCTAAGGTTTATGCTTGAAATGGGCTTCCACTGAAACAAGAAAACAGAAAATAAAAGTTAAAGCCATGGGCACAACCCAGCACAGACAGCCTGGCCCTACAGGTCTGATTGTCCTCAGTACTGGCTGACTGAACAGGCTCTGAGGTCCCTTCCAACCCAACCATTCTATGGTCCTACAACACCGCTGCTCCTCCAACAAGCACAAGCCTTGCAGAGGAGGGCTGCCCCACTCACACCACGCACAACAGAGCAGCTGCAGTCACCTCGTCCTCACCCCTGTTCATCCATCCCTACTCAAACCAATGGGAAATCAACGGGCCGAGGCTGTTCTCCAGCCCTTGTGAGCACACACCTGCGTATTCCTGAGGCAGCATCGGCCTGCTGATAACTTTCTGGAAGGTGGTAATCCACTCCAACTGGTCATCCTCCGTCTCGCAGGCAAAGAGGAATTTCCTGTCCGGGGTGACGATGGTGATGCCGTGCTGCCAATGATTTCCCTGCGTGGATGGCGGGAGCCCTTCCAGGACTTTGTAGCTGTTTTCCTTGCTCCCAATGAACACTTCCCCTCTTGCAAAGGCATCCTAGAAGACAGTAGCCAGGAACACAGAGTGCAGCAGCTGAGACCAAAAGCACCACAGCCCCACAGAGCCCTCCACCAGCAGCAGCCCAGACCCAGCCACGCAGAATCCCGATCCGTCCTGCTGAGCATCAGCCTGGCCTTTACTGCAGACCATGCCCTGTAACAGCCCAGGCCCCTTTGTCTTACCAGGGGATCCTTGAAATACATGAGCCTTCGGTCATCCATGGTGAACCACCGCTTCTTGAATCCTTCTGTTTGCTGCAGAGTCAGAAAGTGCAGAATTACACACCAAAGTATGAAGTGCTTTGCTCATCAAATGCAACCTGGCAGTATCAGGGCACAGGGGCAGCTTCGGGTGGCTTGGAGGACCCTGCTGGGCAAGGGGTGGCTGGGAAAGGCAGCTGGGGCCAGGTGGGCCTGTAGCAATGGCCAGAGAGCAGGGAAACGGGCTGGGTTCATCTGTGAGAAGTTTCTGGATTTTTTTTATCCCTTGGTTCCAAACCCAAACTTCAGACGGAAAATGTGTATTAATGTGCTTACAGTGTTAAGGCTTCACCTCTGCAGAGAGGACAAGATTGTCCCACCAGCAGACCCTTCACCATCCCATACAGTGCAAGCCTTGGTTTTGGGGGTGTTGCAGAAACATTGATAGCCTACCTTGGGCCCTGTTTTCTCCATGTACCCCTCCTTCAGGTAGTTTCTAGACAGCTTTGGCACCAGCTGGAGCAACCAAGCAGGAGAGAAATGAGAGCACAGCATCACTGGAGGTGGCTGGGGAGAACCTGCCCGAGTCCGCTGACCCCTTTGCCACCAGATCCCAACCAAGTGGTTGGCAATTCCGTGCAGGTGAGCCAACCATGTATCCCACAGTGGGCTGATGAGGTGTTCCCTTTGGTTTTCAACATTTGGCCCATTTATCTCTTAAGCTGAAAGTGATCTGAAGGCCCTCACATCGCACTATTTTGGCAATAATTTTGGCACAGAACACTCCCCAGAGCTTTCCTGCTTGATAACATGATGCTAAAAACAAGGAAAAAAAACAATCTGGAAAACTTACATCAGCATTGCTGGCTCCAGGGAATGCCACTTGTAAGTAATGAAAACGTGCAGCACGAATGGCATTGAACCAATCCACTATTTCCTAATAAAAGGAACAAAAAACAGCGAGTATCACAGCCTGAACATAACAAAGCAATGCCATCCTGCTGCACTGCAGCTCTCCCATCCCTCTGTCCCAGTGACATGAGTGCAGTTTAGTGCTAACCCTCAACAAAACAAAACAAACAAACCATGAAGAAGATCTGGTAGCACTTCTCATCCCCGCTCCCCATCTGCTCGTATTTAAATCAGGTGTGGGAGGAGGAAGGTCAGCAGAGGGAAATCCAGCCTGTGGCTTTGAAAAGAGACTTCAAGTGATCCCAGAGCCATCGCTCAGGATTAGCAGAGCCTGAAGTGCTGGGGAGCAGCAGGATGCACAGCACCATGGGCAGGGTGCTTGGCAAAGAGCTGGTGAGACCCAGCATGGAGATGGTAAGCCCAGAGGCGAGCCTAGCTCTGTAAACATGGGTTTCTCTTCCCCTCACTGCACCCCGTCTGCACACAGATGCAAATCCAGGCTAACAGCTCCCCATCACCAGCCTCACCCCTCTGAATGCAGGGAACACAAAGGACATCTCCCACATTCTGAGGCCACAGTGACTTCCTTCCAGATTCTGCTGCAAGAGCAGCCAGACATCTCTTCATCCCTGCACTGCAGCCCACCTGTGAGGCCCATACCCAAGTCCCAACTCAATGCCCAGGTGCCGTGGCACTTCTTTCCTTCCTTGAAAAACATCTCTTTCCCTTTTATTTTGCTCTCCAAAACAGCTCGGTTAACTTGGTCAGTTTTGAACTCCTCTGCTGATTTGCTTCTGGTGCTGCCTGTGCTGCACTGGCACCTTTCTGGAGGTCTCACTGGAAAACGAGATGCATTTGCAAGAGTTGTGACAGCTGCACACTGAGCTGCAGGAGAGGGCTGTTATGGGTACATATGAGGCATTATTAAGCCAGACTGGAGCTCAGCACAGACCCCATCCCACTCTGTCCCTCTGAGCTGAGGCTGCTGCAGCGCAGGAAGCACTGTGTCAGAGCACACCTCAGCCCTCACTAACATTTACACATCGATTTTCAAAAGCAAACTGAGCTGAACAAAAAAACCACACACAAAAATCAGGTCCTTTACGTGTTACTTTGGAGATCTCAGTTACAAGAAGTCCAACTTGAGGTGCTCAAAAATGGTCTATGGTATCAACAGCCATCCTTCAAGCTCTGGTGTTCTGCTCTGCCTGGTTAACCTGCTCCACGCTGAGATGGGAGATAAGGTACCAGGACACACACAGACAAGGCTCTGGAAAACTCTGACCTACTTGTCTGAGCTTTTACTTATCACTTGCTTTTCTATCTTAAGCAGCTAAGCAGACCCCCAGATAGCAGCACAAAGAGGATCTGCAAGAGAGAGGAACTGGCTCCTGAAGTGAATGATGACCATTACAGGCTAGAGGCAATGAAAAAGAAGCTGTAACATTAAAGTGGTGATGATTCTCCACTTTGGCTGGTGAGTCTCACCTCTGTGCCTGGGAAGATCATGGAACAGATCCTCCTGGATGACATGCTTGATCAC